TAGGATGAAGCTCATCATTTGCTCCAAACATAGTCCAGCAGCCTACTGTATCTCCTCGATGGGAAAAGCTTTTGCACCATTTGTTTGTGCCACTGGATCCTTTTGTGCCTACAGACTACCCGTCCTTCTCGCAACTCTTGTTGTGCGAGGTCCATAGACGTCTGGTGTTCCATGTATATCCATGTTGTCATTTTTGCAAGTCGAACCTGCGGACCTTGCAGGGCATGAAGGCTTCCCGGCCTACTGTGGAATGGATCGGTTGATCTTTGGGTGTGTATTTTGGGAACCCCGAGTCTTTCGGGTGTCTGCCTACTGACTAATTACACACCAAAACCCTATTTAGGCGCAAGACATGTCATGTGGCTTCCCGGCCAGTCGTTTTGTGCTCGCAGAACCACTTTCTCCCAGACACTGGCTGACCCGCGAGCATCTGTGAGCGGCTTGGTCGCAGGATCATGCTGCTGTGGATGACAACAGATCTAGTCTATAGGTCTATATATATGTCTATACTGTATACTATGCAATATAGTCGTAATACAATATAATAATATAATAGAATTTACAGTCACATATATATAGGTCCCTACAAATTCCGCAAGAAGGGTTCTCTCTGTATATGCTGTATATATATATATATATGTCACATGTAATATAATATATGTGTTCACATGAAGGCTTCTACTCTCTAGGTCTCATCTGTTCCCATTCGGGCCGGTCGACCCGCCGTAGGAGACCCGCCCGCGGCCTCCCCGTCTGAAAACGGATGGAAGACGGCTCCGGACGTAGACCTCGACCTCCAGGCGGCTCTGGTGCACTGTACAAAAGGAATGGATCCCCAAAGGAATGGATGTTTGGGATCCACGGGAACCACTCCCTGGAACTCACATGAACCACGCGGCTGGCGCGTCGGATGTTCGAAACGCGCTAGATGGCATGGGGAAGGAGATGGAAGGGCATTGGGTGCAATTCCGAAGACCAAACACCGCGGTGGGCACGCCACGCTTGATCCGTTTCTATGTGAGTTCCAGGCACTGTAACACTCTCACCCTGTCTCGGTGCTGAATACTTGGTTCCTTCTCGTTCAGCACCCGCGCAATTTGGGTTGGCCACGTGACCGACCCGTGGAAAAGCCGGTGGAGAGAGCCGGTTGGGCAGCAGCGTTTGGGTTCTGGGGTTACTCGGTTGCATCCACCAGCAGGCATCAAAGATTCAACCCATGACTTGCTGAAACATAGGACACAACAATGTAAGCTGAATTGAGCTTCTGAGATCGAGTTTGGGAGAAATCCAAGAGTAGGGTGAACACAGATGAAAACCATACTGCCATTTTGGCATCTGGACTGGTCTTTTGCTTTTGTTGGAAGTTCAACCAGAGTAACCAGAGTATTCAACCTTTGAGTTGGGCTGGAATGGGCTGGAAAGCAGGAGTCCCCCAACCTCCAAGCCAAGCGACGCGGGCTTTAGGGCTTTTGCTACCTTAAGTGCTTGGTCTTTGGGCTCCAGTTGGTTGCATAGCAAGCATCATGCGCATTGTCAGCGATTCAGATTCAGATCTCAGATCACCTGCAACAATCAAACTAACCAACTTTACACTGCAAGCATGTTCATGCAACCATGAGGCCCAAACGTTCTAAACTCACATTCATAATCGATCATTGATCATTGTGTCCGTCGCCCCAACAGCAGAACCTGCTGTTCTATCTTCCGCCGGGCACTTATCCAAAACGACTGGTCTGAGATAGGCCAGGTACTCCAACATGAGCCATGATGAGATTGCGTGTAGATTGTTCATATTGTCTCCTTTTAGTCGAGATCGGAGTGACAATCAACCGTGTCATATACCTACACCACTCGCGCAAGAAGAAAGCCTGGAAATCAGCAGGTTCATTTAGTTTAATCATGCTTTCAGGGAGTTGCATTAAACCCTACAATTGTTGGCAGTGCTGTGTCCTTGTGGTCTCAGCTTTGATGTAGTGATCTTTCAACAACACGTATGATGTATTGGCTCCAAGCTTGAATGTGAGCGAGAATTCGGTGCTGTGGTCGTCTTTAGGAGTGAAAGCACCTGGCTGCCACGGTGATGCACCTGGCTGCCACCTACCCAACCAAACTTGCAGCAACCAATCTTGCAGCATGTTCGAAACCCTTGGAACCTCTGCTACTTTCAAATATTTGGGAGTTTGCATGTGCTTCCGCTTTCGCTGAGGGTGCTACTATGGCGAAGAGGCACCGGCCTGGAGATGGATGTGATAGAACGAGTAAGTTGGTAGATGAGCGCCGCGTCGAAGAACAACAACGGAGTTCCATGGTGTAAGGAGAAGCCCGGTGTTCCATGGCCAAGGCTATTTAGACCCCATGGCTCGAGTGGCGGCCTTTTTTGCACCCTTCTTTGTACGCCACCTGGAAGTTCTCCACATCTAGTCATCCTGCCATTCATGTGACATGTGGTCAAACCCCATGGCCGGGTGAAACCTTGTGAAACATCGAGTGGAACCAGGTGAAATGCGCGGGCCCATTCGTCTGGATGAAATTCTTGTGATAAGAGGAGCCGCTAGCTGGCCGATGTCCTCATGTGACTCATGTGTTTTGGAGCAGCAAGAGTGAGGAGTTGTTCTTTAGTGTTTACAGAATTCAAGTGGCAGCTAGCCTGTGGTATCAGGTTTTTGGAAGAGTTGGACAAGGATGGAAGATGACCAGGGTCATCCATTGCGCGAAGATGAGAAGAGATTGAACAGGCTTCCAGGTGTCAAACTTTATATTTTGGATGGTGCTGACATTTGACCCTCAATGACCCCATTTTTGTTGCTTTCAGGAACAGCTTGAAGCAAACCTGGCATTCATCCATGTGACTTGTTTTGTGGGTGACTTGAACAAAACAGCTTGGACTTTCTTTTTGAACACATCACAGGTCTGCATCTTCGTGTTTCGCAGCGGCTTTGGTGCCTCTGATCGGGGTGGAGCGCAGAGCACCGGAGCATGCGAAGGAGGTGGTTGATTGGGTGCGTTGAAGAAGTTAACAAACAAACAAACAAACAAAGTTAACAAACACACAAATAAGTCAACAAACAAAGAAGTTAACAAACAAGGTGTTTGGTTCTTGTTGCAGGGTGGTCTACCAGTTCTTGTCAGTGCAACATTACCTGATGGCCCTAAATCCTGAAAAAATGACCCAGTTGCTGTTTCGCCCACGTCGTGGGGCCGCGTGGCCGTTTCGCCACGAGCGTTTCATCGCTGCTTGGACCGGGACGACCGGTGACTGGCCACGTGTTCATGGTACCGGTGGCACCGGTGGAGTGGCCCCCCGCCAGACAGTGCTGCCAGTTCACCTGTGGGGAGGGACATGGCACTTGGCTCCAATCCCAAGTGGTTTAGATAGAGATGGGCAAAGAACGTGGTCTAAATTGGGTTTGAGCCAAGAGTCTTGAGGAAGGTATAAATGCAGCATGCACTGTACCTGGCCTGAAACACGAAGCTGAAACATGCATGTGTAATCAGACACTCCATGGGACTGCCATCTATGCCGATCAGTTGGGGTGGTTTTGGGGGTCAATGTAGGTATATGTGGCAGTCCCATTAGTCGTGTTTGGGTATGATCTATGACTATGTATGGAGCCTAGGCGGCCTAGGGAGCCCCGTGGAAGGTTCAGAACATCGACCTCTACCCGGTGAATCAGCCGGCGAGAAAGGGGGGGCTCCCCATTGAGATCGACATGAATTTGTTTGCCCTCCACATCACTTCTGTCCTTGGTTGTTGCGTTCTGTTGGGGTCAAAAGAACAGCTGCATGCACATACACGTTGAATAACCTGAGATTCTTAAGCTTCTCCCAGCTCATTTGGCTCATTCAGTGTTTCTTACGCTCAGCCTCGTTCGATTGATCTGCCTTGAGAGTCTTCACTGATGTCCATGGTTTTTGGTGTTCAGCTTTTCTTTTGCCTTCCGACCTGGGAAGGTCTCTAAGGCCAGCAAAAAGACACACAAAAAAGACAGTAGTAGAATGATCCATGCTAGCAGCTATGCTAGCAGTGACGTGCCAAGAAGAACTGGAATCGCTCTCATCGGTACTCATGACGGCCCCATTCCTCCAAGCAAGTATCAACTTTTGCGCTTCCTGCCACCTTAGAGCTTTGCCACAAATTAGCCTTTGCGTGGCCGGCAATGGAGCAAGTCGTCAATGCGTTACAGGCACTCTATGCCACAAGTGACCCGCAAACAAAGAAGCTGCTTGGATGACCATTGTTTTGGTTGGATGTGTGGCAGAAAGAAGAACAGGTTTTCTCTCCAACACACATGGTTTGGATATGTTTGGATGAAAAGACGGGGGCTTCCACCCATCCCAAGCCATCGATTGGATTCCAACTGAATGGGCTGGACACTCCAGTTGGTGTGTTCATGCGATGTGGTGCTGTGCCACATGTGATGCAGTGCTGAAGCTCTTAGGGTGAAATCACACGGGATGCTCTCTCCTACTCTCGGTCATCATCATTGTCAGTGCGTTTTCATCTGAGAAGAAAGCGAGGGGGCTGGCAGTGGGAGACTAGAATCGCACTGGGACCAAGGGCGGCCCGAAGGTTTTGGGCATCTCATGTTGATCAGAATCCAGGTCAATTGCTTGCTGGTGATAGGAACTAGGACGAGTTGATCTTCGATAAACCAAGTTAGTCTCCGACGATCACACCGATGGAGTTCACCCCCTGTTGGTAGTTTCTGGGGCTTTTCTATGTAGATCTCCTAGTGAATACCCGGCGGCCCGCCAAGGGATCTTGAGGGATCTCATCGGTCGGCCAGAAAAAAAGAAACAAACAACTCCCAAACTACAGGTCGAACTGTGCGCGGTGGAACTTCTGTTCCAAAAATCGGCGGTTCCAATTCCCGGGGAGAGCTGCCATCCAGTGGGGGTCCGGAGCGGTGAGGCAAGCCGATGACTGGCTCACGAAGTTTCAGCAGACTCCGGCAGCGTGGCAAGTGTCTGATACGCTCCTGAGCCAGGCAGATGCGCCAATGCAATTTCGATTTTTTGATCCTTGGCAGCACCCGGTCGTTAGGCTCGTTAGGCTGGGGGGGGGTTTGGGGTGACCGGGAGGAATGAAGCATCTCTTGGCTGGCACGTGAAGACAGGTTCCCGGTTGTCAAGGGTGAGTATCTCCTTCTTGCGAGTGCCCACCACCAGAATCCATGCCAGCACCATATTCATACTTGTGTTTGCTGTTTGTTTAGCAGAGCTCGACATCATGCATTTGGCAACTACCGACCTCCAAGAAGGCTGGTACATACTGCTACATATAGTGCTACAGTGTTCCAGAAGAACTGCCTTGTTATTCCTCAACATCATGAAATGCATTGACCCCAGAAGCATCCACCCGCCTGGGCCTTTGGTCTGCTAGCTCCCGCTTGACTCCTCTCCAAACCTTCTCACGTTCTCACGTTCCTCGGCCCTGAGGCCGCACAAACGATGCGCACCAAAGTGCAGTTTGATTTTTATGAGCTGCTTGGCGTTGCTCAGTGCTTGGCATTGCTGTCATTTAACATGTATACATGTATAGAATAGATGCCTTTTGGTGTAGTATGTATGTTGCTCATAATATGTAAATGTATACTAGAAGTTATTCTAGATTATATGTGATTATACTAGTGTGTATGTTGAAGCTCATATGTAAATGTATAGTATAACATGATGATTGTTTGCTGTTGTTAATGTTTTTTCATTGTTTTTTAAATCAATGTAGCTATGTTGTGTATGTAAGTAAACGTAAATTTGTATACATTATATATTATGTTGTATTGTCAAGATTTGTGAGAGTCTCGGGATGTTGATTTCTTGCCACACTCATGATCAGTAAACTATCCAGGTTGCCTGCTGACAGCTACATGAGCTTGAGAGACTCCATGCTGGTTCACATTGACAGGTGCGAGCTCAATGGGTGTTGGTCGAAGGCACTGTTCGTTGCATTGCTTGAAACTATGGAAAACACCGAGATCAATTGGATTCGCTGTGGCAGACGTGGAGACATGTGTTTTTTTTTTCTCGGTTTGACAGTAGGCCGAGTGGGGCTAGTGTAGCAGCGCTACACTGGTACACTCATGTCTTCTGGGTCACTTTGAACACGTGTTTTCTTTAAGAGCACAAAACTAACATGGGAGCCATTCCAATTCCGCTTGTATCTACCAGTGGCACAAATAAATCTGGTAATGAATCATTATCATTCTAATCTCCATCAAACACATTGAACATGACACCTTTCCAAAAGCTGTCATGTAGCCTTCGCCCACCCACCCGCTTGCTTCCACTCGCCCACTGGTCGGTCGTTGCCCCCAGGTTTCGCGCCGCGGAGCATCAGCCAATCCACACCATGTTAGCGATCGGCCTGGCCGACCTCGCGATCCAAATGGACCCCCGGTACCGTTCGGTTCGGACGGTTCGGACCGTTCGTTGGGGTGGTGAGACCGGGGGTGTGAGAGGAAGTCCGTTGGGGTGGGCAGAATGAGCCAAAGGTGGGTGTAGTTTGGGTAGACTCTAGTACTAGGCCTAATTACGGTAGGAAACGGTGCCTACTTTGTGTTTGTAATCAGCTGACTTGCCAAAAGCTTTCCTGGTCGATGGTCTGTGGCAGATATGAGGTGAATGAAGGGCCTTGGCAGAATGTGTGATTCTGCTTTGCATGAGGGCGAGTTTGCGGAAGATGTTGATGCCAACAAGACCTTGAGGCTCAATCTTTATGACGGTATTAGCCACTGATTTGCTGCAAGGGTCTGCTATTTCGATGTTTGCACCGGCTGGGCTGTGGCGCAAGAGTGTAACCCAGAGCCAGCGACTTGCATCAAAATAGCAACGAGAAGCCAAACACAGGTCTTGACTAAATTCTGGTCAACACCATTCCTTGAGGATACTTGGATCAATTTGTATCAGGACCATACCTGGCCCAATGCTGTCGAGACCTTGTTCCAGCGCTTTGGGCAGAGTCCGGAGAGCTATCCAACGCTCCTGGAGGTGCTGCGAATGCTCCCTGAGGAATCCAGGGCTTCCGGTTCCGGAGAGGTTCAAAAGCTGCTTTTTTTTCTGCAGCACTGCAGTTGTGCGTTTCTTCATCGTCAGCAATGGATTAAGTCATTGTCATAGGCTTTATAGGGGTTACTGGCAGACCTTTTGTCGTCATTGGCAGACATGTACCATTTGGTTGATAGACAAACAGACAAACATGTTTTTCAAAGTTTATTTTTTCACAGTAGCGTTGAACCCGGAACTGTTTATATAACAGATGTGGGCAAGCATTGTCCAGTAGATAGCTTTTAAGTATTGATATATATATATATAATATATATATACACAGACACAAAATTTCGTAGTTATTTTCAGTGTATAAATCTTGTGCCTTATGCCTCTTATATCCTCAAAAAGGCATGGCTTTGTCTCATACGCGTCGACGATTAATCGTAGGTCCTATTCGCAAGTATGTTTTATGTGGCAGTCAGTTACAGCATTCAGATATGGTACACATGCTGCATGTAGGAGTCCAAAAAGGGTTTCAGGGGGGGTTGATGGACGGATGGCGCAACGAACGCACCGCCACTGGCACGCACCGCATATCGTTCACCCACATCGTTGGCACCGGATCCGACTTCGCAGACTTCCGCCGGGGGGGGTTTGCTGCCTCCTTTTTCGGCTTCCACATTGTTGCTCCCAACGCTCCACATACCAAGAGAGGTATCCAGTGACCTGAACTAGGACGCGTCACCTATGGTACCTATTGGGATAGTCGAACTAGGGTCCTTCAACCTTTGTTGGTCATTTGTTGTTACGGACTTTGTTACACGTAGCGGGCTAGCTGGGAAGACCGTCTATTGGTGAGAAGGAGACAGCTCCAGCTGTCTCACGACATAGCAGAGCAATTTGCAGGGCTGCTAATTCTTTTTGGCAGTGTACTTGGCAGTCTATTTGACGTTTGGCATGTTTTCAGTGGCTGTTGGCTTGGTTTCTGTAGTTGGGGTTTGGTGCCTGTTTGTTTTATGGTCTGCAATCACACGCATCAGTTCTTTCTAGCACAGCGGCCTGGCGACAGATCATCGCTTCCGGTGACTTCTTTGAGTCGAAACATATTCCAATTCTTCATTGTTTTTCCATTTCCATTTCCATTTCTCATTCTCTCTTCCGTGGCGTCTCTCTTCCAATTCTTCATGTCGAAATATGTAAGACACTTTTTTCCGCTTTCTGACTCGTGCGACTCATGCACGTTCGACTCAGCACTGACTCATGCGACCGGACCTTCGATGGTGGTATTGCGACCGTTGCATTCCGCCCGTATTGCGCCCTTTGGATTGTGTTTCTTTTAGCCAGAAAGGAAGCAAGTGGTTTCAGAGTAGATGGCACAAGTTACACCCAAGTTCGGTGGTGCAATTATGGACCCCGTTTCTTTAAGGACTTCTTGGGGGTTGTGCCATCTACTCTGAAACCACTGTATTCAAGAGAGTGCCTCTCTACCAGACTCTTTGCACAATCTCTTTGCACAATGCCAGTCTAAATCCGAAGGAACCTATATCCATAAAACCATGTTCTCTTGACATCCCTGGTAGTCCATGCTGTTTCATGTTTCAGGTTCCACCAGGGTCTCGGGGTTTGGACCGTTTTGATGCAGGAGAACAACAACTACAAACTCATGACGGACAGCTTCAAGCGTGAATCTTGCAGCCAAAGGCTTCAAGCTGCAAGCTCAGCTGCAAAAAGAAGAGAAACATGGATGTTCGGACGTCGGCCTTCTTCGGTGGTTTTTCGATCCACATCTTACCGTTCCGCGTGCTTTTCACCGTTCCGCCAGCTCCGGCTGAAGCTCGGACGTCGATCGGGATCTTTGGGGGATCATAAGAACCGGATGGTTCACCTCAAAGTCGGAATGTTCTACATTTGAGGTGAACCGTCAAAGAATGCCATATATGTGAAACCACGCAGTGGTGCAGTGAAACATGAGCTGTGTAGTTTGGTGGTTGGGGATTCATTGTCACTCTTGTACCATTTTGGCTCAAGAGTGACAGCCCTCGGTTCCCCCATTTCATTTGCCATGTACCTGGAACTGGTGATTCTGGTCTCCGTGGTTTTCGGTGTGATCTTGGGGTGTGCTGGGGCGTGGTGCTGCTGCCATCGCAGTGGCACTCGAAAGGTGTCAGCGCTGACACCGGCCTTGATTGGCTCGGGCGATTTTCCAGGCTTAGGATATGGCACGAAGCCTGTTGCCCACCGACGTTGAGTTGGCAAGTTTGCGCACTATAGATGATGTGTTGACCTGGGTTGGATTGGATGAGGCCCCATGGCTGGCCATGTCAAATTGTCTCGGTGGTGTTGATAGTATGCGGGTGTTTGCCTCTCTCCCCGCTGCAACCCCACAACCAGCATTTGAACGTGCGCGAATTCCTGCCACCGCTACCACGGCTGAGCGTGTTCTTACAGCTGTGGAGATCATTCAGATTGGGTTGGTCTGGCGCATTACAAGACAAGCCTACGCCCTTCCTGATATTGATCCATTGCTTCCTGAACCATCAGCCCATGCAACAGGGTCAACAGCAGCTAGAGCAGCAGCCCCGGCTTCGATTAGGTCTGGAAGCTCACCAACAAAGCGTGTGAAGATGTCGACTGCAGTGGATCAGTTGGACGAGTCGGAAGTCGATTTGTTGGATGGCAACGAAGTTGAGCAGGCCTATAGGAATTTTAGAGAAGCAGTTGGGGCTGACCCGTTGGTGGATGCTGACCCTACAGTTGAACAAATCACAGCCATGTACACAAAAGTGTTGAAGAGATTTGAAGCTCCCTACGCTGATTTCTCGGTGCTTACTCCATTCGGTAGGAGAACACAGAAACAGGCCAAGGCTAGGAATTTCATTTTGCAGCAGGATGGAACGTGGAAGACAGTGGAGATTCCAGGTCCACCAACCTTTATGGCTTGGAGTGCATGCTGGAAGATCTATAGAACTGTTCTCCTCATGTTGAAACATCCTGCAAATGCTACCACAAGGACACCAGCAACACCCATCGTTACGGTTGCTGCATTGGAAGAGTATTACAATCGTATTGTGGAGCTGAATAATGAATTTCCAGAAGCTTGGCACCTGATTCTACAAGCAGAAGATCAGTGCAGAGGGGAGCAGTTCGAGAGGTTTCAACGAGAGCTGGTGAGAGCCAAGAACGAAGGCAGGCTGCCGATGAATTTGGACTTCGATCAAAACAGGCCATGGGTTGGAGTCTTCCAATTTGCGGCTCGGTGTCAAGAATATTGGGACAGAGTTGTCATTCGGCCAGCGCAGACATTCTTGGCTAGAGGTGGCGCAAGCAAGAATATGTCGAAGAAGGACGCAGAGGATACGCAGTACTCTGAGGCTACTTCGCAGGCTTTGCATCGACCACCAGGTGAAGGACAATCAAAAGCAGCTCGTCGCAGACAGAGAGACAAAGCAAGGATTCAGAGTCTTCAGAAGGATCCGGGAGCGGAAAAGTTCTCAGACGCCCCATGGAGGAAGACAGCAGGAGCCGGTCCGCAAGCAAGCCAACCTGACAACACCCATCCGCGACGTGCAGGTCGAGAGTTTCAGACGGATCGTGAAGGACGTCAAGTCTGTTTTGCATTCGCCAAGGGTGCAGTTGGAGCTTGTTCAGAGCCGTGTCCCCAGGGAAGGTCTCATCGTTGTCAGTACTGCCTTGGTCCCCATCCGAATTCCCAGTGCCCGAAAGCCAGTGAAAAGGGCGCAGGTAGAGGACGGGGCAAGGGCAAGGGCAAGTGACAGGAGGAGGAAGAGCTTGCGGCTGTGGCAGATTTTACAGAGTCGCAGGCGGATGCACGTCAGAATTTGCAAGGAGCTCAAAGTGAATTCAGGGCTGATGTCGAGAAGATGAGGCCTTTTCAGTTCGGTGAATTTTTCGCTGGATATGCAGGTTTCTCAGCTACAATGGAAGAGCTGGGTGGTGAGGCAGTCAGGGTGTCACGACCCTTGGATGGTTTTGAGGGTTGGGATATTTTGACAGATGATGGACTGCAGCAGGGGCTGGATTTGTGCGACAGGCTAGATCACGGACACATGGCACCTCCATGCCGGACGTACACACGTGCAAGAAGGTCGGATGAGCACGGAGTCGTCAAAGTCTTGAGGTCAGACACCAAACCAGAAGGCTGGGGCGATCCTGAAGCAGAAGAAGCAAACAAGATTGTGGCTCGGATGATTCTGTTGGTTTTGAGGCTGACGGAAAGAGGGAGCACTTGGTCGATTGAGAATCCGTGGGACTCCTTTATTTGGATGCTCAAGTGTATGGCCAGGCTCTTTCGCATCCCAGGAGCTGAGCTTGTATTGCTGCATCAGTGTCCGTATGGAGCTGTTACTCAGAAAGCAACGGGCATCCTCACAACAAGCAGCTGGATGAAGAAGGTATGCGCTTTGTGTCATGAAGTCGGAGCGCATTACCATTTGAAAGGAGGCTTGGTGGGGATGACCTGGTCTTATCTTGAGGACAAGTTTGTTTGGCGCACATCACTTGCTGCAGAATACCCATGTGGCCTCACAGTTGCGTGGACAAGAGCGTTGCTTGAGTGGCTGGAATCAGAAGAAGGGTACAAATGGATGCAAGCCAGAAGCTATGTGAAACTAGGCAGGTGGAAGAATACACTTGCACTGGCGGGGACTTTGCCACAGAAGAGAAAGACAACAGGTCCCACCCGGATTGAGACCATCGCTGAACGAAGAGAGAGAGAAAACGTTGAAGCGTGGGGAGGTTTGCGCTTTGCCAAGCGTGCGGTTGCACGGTCTTCGTTGCTGAGAAATGTGGGGCTTAGGATTAGAGCAGTGATGGACGACTGGATGACAGCAGAGCTTGTACAGGAGGTGCAACAGAAGCTTGAGGCTGGCATTTCAGAGCAACACATTGATCAGTTGAAGATCAGGCTATGCAAAGAGTTTGGCGTTCAACCCAGTCAGCAGGGATGGCCGGTGGAGTTGTGGCGAGCTTTGTTGGCAGCCGCTGATGATCCAGAAAAAGAGGTGTTATCAGAATGGATGACCACGGGCTTCCCCTTAGGCATTGCTAGCGAGATCAAACAAGTTGGAGTCTTCCCTAGCACCATGGAGGATACAGCTGCTGTCGAAGCTTCAAGAGTGGAGGGCATAGTGTTGGAGGATCACTTGGGTGAGCTGACAAACTATCGCAGCTTTGTTCAGGAGGTAGACAAAGCACAACCACTCTTGGATGAGATGTTGGACAAAGGACGAGCGCAGCTGTGTCATTCGTGGGAAGAAGTTCAAACAGAGGTGGGTCGCGCAGCAAGGCTCACGAAGGTTGGCTGCATTGTCAAAACCAAAGAGGATGGCACAGTCAAATCAAGGCTCATCTTCGATGGACGCAGGTCCGGGGTCAATGGCATGATCAAATGTCGTGAGAGGGTGACATTGCCGAGGATTTCGGATGTTGCCACAGGGTTCTTGCAATTGGTTTCGAATAATCAAGCAGGGTTCCCAGACAGTTACATTGAGTTGATGGCCTTAGACTTCAAAGACGCATTCAACATGTTGCAGTTGCGAGCAGACGAACGTTGCTACGTGGTCATCAAAGGCCAAGATGACGAGGAGGGTTGGTCAAGGTACTACGTTTGCAACTGCGTAGTGTTTGGGCTGGCTACAGGGCCATTGTGGTCACGCGTGGCAGCAGCAGCAATGCGTCTGGGTCAAGCAGTGCTCAAAAGCCATGAGACTGACATCAACTGCTACATTGATGATCCCTTGATTGTTTCAGTGGCCAGTTCCCCACAGCAGCATACAAGACACTTGCTTTACTACACAGGGCTTTGGTTGAGTCTGGGCTTGGAAGTGTCATGGAAGAAGGTCCATAGAGGCCAAGAGTTGCAGTGGATAGGCTTCAAACTCAGCGTCTGTGGCCCGGATAGCTTGGACCTTCACGTGGAGCTGGCGGACGCCAAGCGAGATAAGTTGCTGCAGGTGTTTGACCAGCTGGAACAATCCCGAGGCATGATGCCGCTGCAGCTACTACAGTATGCAGTGGGAGTGTTAGGCTGGTTGTCTTCAGCTATACCTGCCGCGAGACCATGGTTGGCTATCCTGTGGTCAGTTATCACAGGATATAGAGAGCCTGTGAAGGCAACAACGCGGAGAAGAAAAGGGCTCATTTTCGTCAAGCAGGTTGAAAATGCAGTCCGGTGGCTGAAAGGATTGCTACACCTGTCGGATGGAAAAGTGGGCTTGAGCAAGATTCATCGCTGGCGGCCGTATGCAGTGACCCTGTTGTTGCAAACAGACGCTTCTCCATATGGTTTGGGAGGCGTGTTGATCAAGCAAAAGCAAATCATTGCATACTTTAGCAGTGCATTGACAGCAGAAGATTACAAGTTGTTCAATGCCACACCTGGCGACCCTTCATTCCAGTCGGAATACGAGTTGTTGGCAGTCGTTGTCGGCTTGCGTAGCTGCGCACAGATTATCGCAGACCTGGGAGCAACGAGAGTGATCCTCAAAGGGGATAACACTGCAACCCTAAATGCTGCAATGAATCATCGTGCGTCAAGCCCGCTGATGGCGCAGTTGACTGCGGAGCTGGTGTTGGAAATGGAGGCACAGGGACTTCATGCCATAGTGGCACAACATTTGCCCGGTTTGCTGAATACACTGCCCGACAAATTGAGTCGTCCACACACGGAGGCGATTCCGTTGGAGCTCAACAACATCCTTCGTTTGGATGTACCTAGAAGGTCCCAGCACTTTTACCGGACTTGGCCAAACAAGCCAAATGCCTGGTGAGAAAACAGACATGGGATGGGTTTTGGCGACGGAGTCAGGTGGAGCAGATGGGTGTTTGAACCACTGTGCCAAAACTTCTTGGATGAAATTCGTTTAAGGATTTCTTTTTCTCTTTGTTGGAGTCCTTCCTCTTTGTTGGAGTGTTTGATAGGTTAGTTCTCCTTGTTGGAGTGTTGGATAGGAGAGTTAGTCCGATAAATTTTAGTCTCTTGGTTGGAGTGTTAGATAGATAGCACACCAAAGAAAAGGGGAGGGGAGGGCCTTTAGTGGGGGCTCCCCGTGTGTAGCAGGAGGCCCTTGGTTGGGGCCTCCTCCAGGGTGCTCCTTGGTTGGGAGCACTCATAGCCCGTGCACTTGGTTGGTGTGCGAGGCTAGCGTGCATTGGTTGTGCAGGCTGGCAATAGGTATCTTTGCAGGGTGAGGTTATGCCTATCTTGCTGGATACCGCGTGCATAGATGCTCAAGCACTGGACAAAGAATCCGTTTTGCCCGGGGGGAGCCAGGCGGGGATGGGCGGCTGATCCGGTGAAAGAGAAGGAAGAGCCCCCCGCAGTGGCCGAGGCAAGGCGTAAGTTGGGTTTGAGTATCGTGACACGCAGGGAACGTTCGAGAACACCTGACAGGTCAAATAATTCGTGCACAATTTTGCAAACTTTAATTAGAGGACAGAACGTGGTGAACGAACGAGCACGAGAAGAGTTGACTTCTACGTCGACGGGAGAGGTCGGTGAAGCTGACCCTGATGTGCCACCAGGATTTCATAGGAGTGGATTGCGGCTGACCTTGCATAGCGGAGAGACTTTGACCAAGGCCAGATTGGACGCACCGTGGCTCCCTGACCAGACCCAAGGCAAGCAGAATCGCGGGCAGTCCAAGTTGGCGATACAAATTGCTGGTGACGAGCAAATGCGGCAGGAAGCGATGACTGCATACGATGCACTTGTTTATGCAACAGGGTCCACGCAAGCCAAGGATGCGTTGTTTACCACTTGGGTGAACATCAGCAAAGCAAAACACGAAGAACCTCTCCCGCTGACAACCACCAAGATTCGGGAAAATGCTGCCATCCTGCGCAGTGCGGGCTATCGTGCTGTGAAGAGCTACGTCTATGAAGCCAAGGATAGACATTCCAGAGCAGGCTATCCGTGGTCGGCGGCTCTGCAGATTGCCGTGCAGGATGCAAAGCGGATGGCACAAAGAGCTATCGGCCAAGTTGAGCGAGCTGGAGAAGTCAAATTAGAAGTTTGGGCAATGCTCATCACAAAGTTTGGCAAGCATCCATACCCAAACGAAGCTGCACAAGGGGCACCCAACGCGGGCGCTCTTACCTGGATTCTGGGCACTAAGTTTCTGCTGCGGGAGGTCGAATTGGCCTCGCTCACCTTAGACACGAAGTGTGTGCAGCTGGATCTGGGCTCGAAAGTGGCAACGCTGAGACTGCCAGTCAGCAAAACAGATGTTGCTGGGAGGGGTGCTGCTCGGGCTTTTGGTTGTTATTGTCAGACTACGGGTGATGTGTGTTGCCCGTTTCATGTTTTGGTTGAAATAGTGAACAATCAATGTCAAAGGCTGCGAGTTCATGATCGGAGTGTGTTGCCAGAAGGTGCAATTCCTCTCATAGGTCAAATAGCAGACGCTGGGCTTTACGTTGACAAGAAGGAAATGATCTGCGAGGCCCAGAGGATGGTAAAATTGGCCAACGTGACATGTCCTGAGTCCAGCATTGCGGTGGAGACCATCACTGGGCATTTTATGCGACGTTCTGGTGTGAAGGATATGGCTAGAAGAGGTTGCGCTTTTACCACCATTCAATGGTATGCTAGACACAATAGCAAAGCTACGTGGGACTACATTGAAGAAGCCTGGGGAGACACTCCGGAACAAGCCTTGAAGCTCAAGAGCGAAGTTGAATTTTCAGAGGCATTGGCAAATACCTTGAGACGCGTAGATTGCCTGGAAGAAGCGATCAAAGTGCAGACCAATTCGTTGGAAGAAGCTCTGCATCATGATGGCTTTAATGTTGAATGTGAAGAGACGAAGAAAGAGATGAGGAAAGAAGCTCGAAGAGCATTGCTTCCTCTGTTCGTAGTAAATTTAAGTTCAGGTGCAGTCCATCGCCCATGCCATTCGTTTTCCCCTTTGGTAGATCCGAAGAAATGGACAACCAAATGCGGATGGCCGTGGGTTCAAGGTGACGTACCATGCCAATTTGTTTATGAAGGGGACGACTTGAAACCTACCACCCGGAGGTGCCTGAAGTGTTTCGGTGGGTGAGAGAAAGAAAGTATGGGGCTGATTTGAGGCAGGGGTCTGTTCTTGGTTTGACACCCCGGGTTT